ATTGTGCATGTATACATAGCTTATTACGAATAGCAAACTTTTTGTAGTTTTTAAAATATGAGCTCATTGCGTGCCGGTATTATTACAACATTTTTGTTATTAACAGCAAAGAGAAAGTACGCTGTCAATATTAATTAATAGTTAAACACATTTCGGATACAAGCGCAAGGCGCATGTTATTACACAGTAGTTAATCCTTGATTGACATATCAGTATTTGCGTATAATATTGATGACAAATTATCATGGGACGTGATTGACGAATATTTTTGAAAAAATTGTTAGAAATGAGGATTATTTTATATTATATTATTTGCATAATACACATTAACATATTAAAATTAATTAGGTAGCTTTTAACTTTGAAACTAGTTTAATTTTTATGGGAAATACAATTGCAATTTATGAATTATTCTTTAGTTAAATTGGATTAGGGTGGATCAGGTTTGCTTTTAAAGAATGTTAAAATTTTCTTTAACAGTAAAACTAATCAAACAACTTAAAAAGCTCCCATCAGACTGGCATTTCGTGTTTTTATTATATAAAAAATTTAAAACAATGAAGAAAACATAAATATAAAATACGGCCCTAAAAGTTGTATAAGTAATTAATATTAGATGTATTTTTAAAATAATTTAACTGTCTCTAAAATAAAGAATACGTATAAAGTGTATTATATTGTATAAAAGAATTCGAAATGGTCTGTATTCTGTCGAAACTGCCAGGCGGATCGCGATTTCGATCCTTTTGGATCTCATCAGCGCGCCGCAGGCAGCTCCGACAGAACCCAGACCAACTTTAACCTGCTGTCTTAACAGTTCGATTTAGAAAATACTACAAATGGCGCGGTAAACGCCATGTGTAGCATTTATTATATTGTTCTTACTTTGGATATTTTGAATTTTAATAGCCAAAGGTGTTAATGAAGAAATAGTTCCTGACAATCAGCTTTGTCAGTTGATTTCTTTTTCTTTGCAAAAATTATTGTAAAAAGCCCTCTATACTTCCCCAAGAGTTAGGTTTACTTTTGTGATATTGGAGTTAATTAGCCCTTTTTCTTATTTATTTTCATATTTTTTTGCTTTCGTTGCTTAACAAATCTTAAGAATTCCCTAAATTTGGTAAGCCATTTAATACAAAAATCCCTTTTACGTTACGTTTGATCTTAACCCCTTAGTTATAGGGGAATTCCCTAAGTCTAGCTATGCCTTTAAAATGTATTTGTAAAGTTGGCCTTACAACACGCCTTGTAATGTATTGTCCACGAAACTTGGACCAACCAATTAAAATCGTGACATAAGTCCTGAAGATGTCTCGTGTGATCGAAGTAGAAACGTTAATAATGTACCTCATGGAAGAGCAACGCTAAACCATTTGAATTTTTCCACGACATCATAAAAATACGAATAGAATTCGAAGTATTTAAGTTCAAGTTAGGGAACGTACCCTTACTACGAGACCCCTCAGAGGGGGAGAGGGTCTTCAAAATACCACCCTTGATCACAGGGTGGAGGAGAAGTCTTACGTTTTCGTCACCTAATCAAATTTTCTAGGGAAATCTTGAGTTTTTTTCGAACTATATCCAAAACTTTCTGTTTGCAAAAAATGATTTAAAACCATATTTATCTATGAATTATTCGTGAAAACTAGAGGAGCAGGAGGGTCTTGACATATATTACGGGGGGTCACTTAAGGGGGCAATGGGGGTAAAAATATATAGAATAGTAGTATGGGTATGTTTCTTTAGTTACTAAGTGTTTAAAAAAAGTATCTGCAATATTTTCTTCTTTTTTTATGAACATCAACTTACCTCATAAAACAGCCAGGCGCTAAAGATAACTTGAATGAAATTGTATACTATAAGAATATTCTTGAGATCGAAAGGTTTTCTATTTTCCATTAGTTTAGGTCCTAAAACTTTTACGAAATATGCATATGTGAGACATATAGCTAGCGTGGGAAACGGTGAGCTCATCAAAAACCAGTCGTTCACTCTGGGATCTGCAAAGAATAATAATAAATTATTACTAATAATAATAATAATAATAATTACAACGTATGGGAAGATCGGATGTCACATTAAATAAAAGAGTAAAATAAAATAGGAGTGGTGCAGTTGTTACCCTATGTCGCAGAAGAAATAATCATTTAGTTGAAAAATTAATATTACTTTTGTTAAAGTTAACTGTAATTATTTAGCATTTTTTCTTTTTTTTTTTTTAGTGATTTTAAGAATTTTTTTATGCTTAAACATTTAATTTAAATATTGTCTTTAATTGTTTTAAAGTAAAGTTATAGTGCAATAGAATTTTTATGTTCGTTTAATCAATTATCAAGTTATTTTATCTTGTGAAAAATTACAAATGAATTAGTCGAACGTTAGACCTAATTAGTATCACATTTGTAGACTTTCTATTAAAAGTGATGACCTATTGGAGCAGCAATCAAAACAATTCATTGAATTTAATTAAATAATGATTTATCAATCGGGTCAGGTTATTAAACTATTGTGGTATTTTTCTTCGGGGTAAATTTCATTACTTTTTTTGGAGTATTGTGCATGTATACATAGCTTATTACGAATAGCAAACTTTTTGTAGTTTTTAAAATATGAGCTCATTGCGTGCCGGTATTATTACAACATTTTTGTTATTAACAGCAAAGAGAAAGTACGCTGTCAATATTAATTAATAGTTAAACACATTTCGGATACAAGCGCAAGGCGCATGTTATTACACAGTAGTTAATCCTTGATTGACATATCAGTATTTGCGTATAATATTGATGACAAATTATCATGGGACGTGATTGACGAATATTTTTGAAAAAATTGTTAGAAATGAGGATTATTTTATATTATATTATTTGCATAATACACATTAACATATTAAAATTAATTAGGTACATGGATAGAAAAGGTTAGAAATGAAGAGGTATTAGAAAGAATAGGAGAACAGAGAACTCAGTGGAAGTAAATAAAAAATATAATAAATAATAAATAAACCGCGGCTTCGTTGGTGTTGATGTCCTTAATACGTCTCAAAGATTATCGACGACCACATAAAACCAATTTTTGTATCCTTTGGGAACATTATTGTTTTTCGGTATAAAAGGTACCCGATGTCCTTTTCTGTCAAGTTATCAAAGTAACCCACGGTGAGAAATATGTAGCAGGATGATAATGCATTTTCGCATTTATTAAGAAACATCGGGTTTCGGTAAGTCAATTAATATTTCACGATCGAAAAAAATATTAATAGGTACAACATTAATAACGATTTAATGAAGAAATCGAAAGGAAGCATTATATGAAGCATTCAGAAGCTCAAGGTTATTCCTCCGGCTTTTTGTTTGTTTCGTTGAATAAATGGAACTTTTCCATTTCGAAAGAAACAACTCGAATTCTTCCCGCCCTTGAAAAGCAGTCACGGCAGTTTCCGTTAATTTGTTTTGTGCTTGAGTTTTTGAAAGAATTTTGGAATTTATTTTTTCCGACAGTTTTCCCCGTAGGCGATGCAGGAAAACAAACAGGTTGTGACAGTGAACTCAATATGGAAATGAAACTTTTGACGTCTCGCTTTTACTGTACCTATACATATATAANTTATTTTCATATTTTTTTGCTTTCGTTGCTTAACAAATCTTAAGAATTCCCTAAATTTGGTAAGCCATTTAATACAAAAATCCCTTTTACGTTACGTTTGATCTTAACCCCTTAGTTATAGGGGAATTCCCTAAGTCTAGCTATGCCTTTAAAATGTATTTGTAAAGTTGGCCTTACAACACGCCTTGTAATGTATTGTCCACGAAACTTGGACCAACCAATTAAAATCGTGACATAAGTCCTGAAGATGTCTCGTGTGATCGAAGTAGAAACGTTAATAATGTACCTCATGGCGAGGCCTAAACTTTGAGTCTAATTTTGCGTAGTTAAAGTTAAAGTTTAGAAGCTCATTTTTCATAAACCAACAGATTGCTATGTTTATTTTTTTAATTATCGGTCAATTCAATTTTGTGTTGCCACCGGTCATGTGCTAAATATGTACACGTTCTAGTTAATTTATTTACACATGCAGATATTGATTAATAAATAATGTGACGTCTTCAGCAAAAAAATGTTTTGAATCATTTGTAATTATAGCTGCAAGTGCAGAAACGAAGTTACGGAGTTGAATTAAAAATACCTCAGGCTAATATTGAGACCAACACATCCAATGGTAATTTTAATGGATAACATAAAATAATGCTTACCGCTTTTATTCTCCATCAGGTCCCTGTACCCGTCGTATATGTGCCACACCAGGAACGACATTTTGTTCTGAAACAAAAATAATATTGTTAAATTTTAATAAAAATAAAGCGAAAAAATATTGTTACATTAAGGATGTCAAAGTATAAAATTTTATTGCAATTGTCGTAAATGTTTTTGCAATAAACAAACTAAGGTACTTAAGTTAACAACAGATTTAGTTATATTGTTAGCATTAAGTATATTTTCATTAAATCATCTAAAATACAATAATTTGATAAATTTATTCGTATGTTCTGACCAGGATTATTAGGATAAAACTAATGTTTTTAATTTTCTATGTTAAATATATACATTCTTCATCGAGATGAAAAGAAATGTATCTATCCCTCGGGAACAGTATCCTTTTTTCTAGATCAAAGGTGCCCGATGTCCTTTTCTATACCCCTAATAATAGTTACGATGCTTCTTACAGATTAACCTACATATTCTCCCAAATTTTGTTTCAACCTGGTCGAAAAAAAACGCAGATTTTCAGTATTACGTCACTGTATCCTAATCATCTTTATTACTTCTTCATTCAGTGGTAAAGGCTACAATTTCTTTTTTTATATATTACATTATATGAAACAACAACAATTTAATAAACTCTCTCATAAAATGTACTTATTAAAATTGTTTTATGGAAGCCATTTATTAAATTATTGCAGACCAATAAATTATTTTTTTAGCTATCAATAAATCCATCTAAATGGAACATTATTATTGATTAATTAATTGGAAATGCAGTGTAATTATTTTTTACATTTATTGTAGCAACAATTGTAGATTTTGAAACCTATTATTTAATTAGTTAAATAAAAAATTTGTTACGCTCGACGGAACGAGACTAATAACAAACGAAAATTCTAATGAATTCTTTAAATAAAGAGGTGGAAAGAGATAAGTGAAAACGGGTAGGATTTCATACCTATTCTTGAAAATACTAAGCTTCTCTTCAATGAATATTAAAGAGGTTATTTTGTTTTCACAAAGAAGAAAATAGAAAGACGAAAAAAATGTAATAAGTGGAATTTATTAAATACATTGTTGAAGATAATAGAGACAAAAAGTAAAAAAGTTTCTATAAATAGTATGTATCTGTATTACGTATACTATGGCAACAAAGCACAGCGATTTCCAGGACTTTGCTCCGGAGATCCACATACTATTTTTTCACAAATCTGAACCCCGAAAGAATTTTTTTTCGTGAGAAATTGCATATTTTCGGCATGGGTATGGTAAAAAAATCATATTCCGGCCACGGGAAAAATGTACGTCACCCCCTTCTGAAAGTTTTTGACGTGACAACGTCTTATAATTCGATGGAGCCGGCTGCACGCACGAAAAAACATGACTCATGCGGCGTTACCTCGCTCTGAGGCGTTCCATTTAAGGCTTGAAGTGCAAACGAGAGCGCGGAACGAGCGACAAAGAGGCACAATCGGCCTCCGCGTTTACATTAAATTTCCATTTACCTCCTTCTCTATATCCATACAAAATATCTATCAAACAAATAAAATTAAAATTTTCTTTTGAAAAATGAAACCATTCCATCAGTATTTTCTTATGACGTTGTCACGTTCAACTATCGTCAGTAAACCG